ACAAGGTTTTTGAAAAATCATAGGCTGTTCTATAGAGAAAAGATGGCAGTTTGCTTCTGTAAAGATTTACAGCCTCAGAAACATTATTGGGCAATCTTCCGACTCTTGTCTTGTAGAGTCGTTACAAATCAGAATCAACTTATCATCAGTGAGTAGGTTTGTCATTTCTTCTGTGGAGTCATTTCCCTTCAGTCTGTGGTAAGTGTCTTGATGTGGTCTTGGTTCACTGGAAAAACAGTTTGGGATATTTTTGTCCTTAAACCCTGAGGAGTTATTTTGTCCCAGTTCTTTGAATTATTGACTTGGGAAAGATGGAGAGGCTCTCAGGTTGCTTTTTTGTTTATAACAGAATGTTTGCTACTTTTACCCAGGTGGTGGTAGTTATGTGCCGGTGAGTCAGTTTTGACTCATAGGAACCCTGTATAGGGTTTCCAAGGCTGTAAATCTTTATGGGGGCAGAGAGTCTCATCATTCTCCTGCGGGACAGCTGGTAGTTTCGATCTGCATGACGTTACCAGCATTCCTTTTTACCCAGGAAATATCCTAAATAAGTTGTAAACAACCTTATGGTTGGATACTTTTTGATTGGTAAATAACAAGACCTGAATTGAGTGACATCTGATGAGTAACTGAGAATTGGTTGAATTCAGATGTAGCAAGGCCGTATCTTGTAACTGGTCAAGATCAGGATATATAAGTGACTGAAATGCGAAAGTTTTCAGAAGTTTCCGGGTTGACAGAGATGCTGACTAAGAGCTGGACTGGCGAAAAAGCAGAGTCATATGGGAGCCAGATGGTCCCAAAGGTACTACGCTGGTAGTACTAGAGACAGATGATGAAGAGGCCTGATGGCAGAAGGCATCTGAAAGAGCTAAGCAAGCTGCTACATTGACTGTGAGCTGGACCAGTTAGTAGCAGAGAGGCTGGCAGTGGAGGTGTGATGACAGGGAGATCTGCCAGCAAGGCACAGCTAAGAAAGCTGAGCAAGCTGTTACCCTGGTTGTGAGCTTGGCCAGTTAGCTGTTACCCTGGTTGTGAGCTTGGCCATTTAGCTGCAAAGAGGCCATTGGCAGAATATGAACAACAGAGAGGCTGACAGCAGATAAGTTAACGGCAGGTAGTCTGATGGCAAAGAAGTGTGGTGGTAGCAAGCTACTGCTATGGGCGGCCAGCAGCTGAGAGAGCTAGCCCACTGAGCAGGAGGGAGGCAGCTGATAGCCTGGTAGCACTCTGCCCAACAGCAGAGATGCATGATGACAGACAGCTGCTGCGAGGAAAGTGGCAGCTGAGACAGTTGAATGGGCTGCCCTACGGGTTATGAGTTGAGCCAGATGGCAGCAGAGGAGCCAACAACAGGTGATTGATGGCAAAGTGCCTGACAGTGGAGTGGCCTTCACAAAAGGCAGCCGCCCCAAAAGATGAACCATGCTCACTTGTGACTGAAGTCTGTGTACTTACTCAAGCTGATCCCAAGTTGCTCTTGTTTCTTCCAAGTTCATCAGGATTCTAAATTGCAGCCTGCCCACCAGCTGCTCCGCAGAAACCCTATACAGGGTTGCTATAAGTTGGGAGTTGACTCAATGGCACTTAATAACAACAACAATGACAACTTCCGTAATAAACCACATAATGTTGTTGTTGTTAAGTGCCGTCGAGTCAATTCTGACCCATAGCCACCCTGTATAGGGTTTCCGAGGAGCAGCTGGTGAGCTTGAACTGCCGACCTTGCAGTTAAATGGCTTTGCAGTCTGGCGCATTAATCTGCAGCGCCACACCAGGACTCCAAACCACATAGTTGTTGTTGTTGTTGTTAAGTGCCGTCGAGTCGGTTCCGACCCATAGCGACCCTGTACAGGGTTTCCGAGGGTGTAAATCTTTACGGGAGTAGAAAGCCTCATCTTTCTCCCGCGGAGCGGCTGGTAGTTTCGAACTGCTGACCTTAAGGTTCGCAGCCCGATTCGTAACCACTACGCTACCATAGTAGGTGAGTATAATCTATTAATTTTGCATAGCTGTTGCAATGAATTATTGAGCTCTGCAGAAAATTAGAGGGTGCTGTGGGGGAGTAGTTGGTGTCAGTAATGATGGAGAAATGGGAAGGCAGAGATATACCTGACCTCTTCTTCACAGGAACCAGATTTGTGCTGATCCTCATTTTTAACCCTCAAGAATTTAGACAAGTTCTTCACTACATTGTTGTTACTGTTGTTCAATGCCATCGGTCCATTCCAACTCATAGCTACCCTGCATAGAGTTTGCAAGGAGCAGTTAGTAGGTCTGAACCACTGACCTTGAGATTAGCAGTCCAGTGATTATCCTACAATGCTACACTAGGACTCTACTACACTATATAGCTTGAAGGCATTCCTTTATTATATCTTGTAAAGCAAGTCTGCTAGCAATGAATTCCGTCAGTTTTTGTTTCTCGGGAAATGTCTTTATTTTGCCTTCATTTTGTTCAGGATAGTTTTGCTGACTATATAAGTCTTGGGTTTTGATTTGTTTGCTGTACTTTGAAATTTTTAACATACTAGCAAACTGAATGGTACAATAAAAATAATTATAAATAATTACAAACCAGTACCAATTGGTATGTATTTCAGATGGACTCCTGTTGTGGCACTATAGATAAGCATTGGACTGCTAACCACAAGAATGGCCATTTAAACTCACCAGCCACTCCTTGGAAACCAAATACAGGGTTGCAATGAGTCAGAACCAACTCAAAGACACTTAACAATATGTATTTCAGGTATGCATGACTAGTTCATCATTCAAAACTAATGAAAAGTCAGATCTTATTGACATTAAAAAAAAAAAGGACAAAATCCAATATAGTCAGGTGAATATATATATATATATATATATATATATATACACACACACACACACACACACACACACACACACACACACATGTATAGAGTCCTGGTGTGGTGTTGTAGGATACACACTTAACCACAAGGTCAGTCTCAACTGCAATGTTGGCAGTTCAAACTCAACAGCCACTCCTCAGACACACTATACAGGTTAGCCATGATTCAGAACCAACTTGGCGGCACTTAGCAACAATAATATTAATATATACATGTATATACCCATGTACGGTTTGAACCTCAAGGTCGGTAGTTCAAACTTATCAGCTGCTCCTCAGGAAACAGGGTCCCTATTAGTCAGAACCGACTCGACGTCACTTAACAACAACATATCCATGTAGATCACAATGTTATCAAAAGATTGTGGGAAGTTTTCAGTCATGATTTCTTCAAATGCTTTTTCACTTTTTTCTCCTGAATTTTCTGTTGTAAAATTGAGTGAATTCTACTAATCTGTGTCCTCAAGTTCACTGATTTCTATTCTGTCACCTCCATTCTTTATTGAGCCTTTCCAGTGAGTTGTTATATTTTTCTGTTCTATAATTTCCACTTAGTTCTTTTTTTTATAACATGGATTTTTTTTTGTGAAGATTTTCTGTTTTGTCATTTGTTTCAAGAGAATTTAGAATTGATAGTATTCTTATCATGGCTGCTTTAAAATCTTTGTCAGATAATTCTTTCTTCTTATTCGTCTTGGTGCTGGCTTCAGTTGACTTGTGTTTTTTATTCAAGCTGTGATATTTTGGTTCTCAGCATGAGTGGTAGAGTACTGGTGTGGCATCATAGGATCAGCACTGGACTGTGAACTACAAGGTCAGCAGTTCAAACCCACCAACTGCTTCTTGGAAACCCTATACAGGTTCACTAATGCCAACTTGAAGGCATGGGACAAGAAGCAGTCTGAGTGGTAATTTTCTATAGTGTCCTGGAAGTATTTTTCTGTTATATTAAAAGACTGGGTCCTATTTAAATTTTTTAGGCAGTCATGCTGTTTAGGCTTAATACACAGAAAGCCTTTAATTTTCAGAGACTCGCCTTCTATGGCTGTCTAAGAAGGTGGTTGGGAATCTCTCAGTGGGGAAGGAGAGTCTCAGACCTGTGAAAACAATGAGGCTTTTGAGGCGGGATCTCTTATCATGTCCCAATGATATTTCCACTCAGCCACCCTGCTGGTCTGGGCAGGGGAAGGGGCTCTTTGGCAGAGCTTCCAGTTAGCAGCTTCCACTCCTCCACCCCCTCATCCTCTTGCCAGTAACATTGAGGCTACCTAGGGTTATCAAAGTAACTCCAGGGAAGGAATGACCCTTCCTTGTTTTCTTTGGCTAAGTTGGGGCCAGGAAATGCTGGGTCTAGTTCATCTTCTGATGAGTGGGAGAATAAGATACCCTGCAACTATACTGTTGCTCCAGTTAATGAAGTCCCAAACCAGTTTACTTTCTTCTTCCAACCACAACTTAGAATCCTTCTTTGACTGTCACTGTGGTTTTGGCAGGTTGATAGTTGTGCTTAGTGGGGAGGTAGAAGGAAAAGTGGACCTATACTACCCTATATGAACTGCAAGTCCCAAATTATTTATTTTTCACTATGAATTTATATTCTGTCATATAATTATATTACCTGTGTGGAAAGGTATTAGTTGCATTTGTGGTCAGTAAGCCATCAAAGTGGCTGAATCCAGTTGTTAGCTCCATCACAAAATTATACACTGAAAAGAGCACTCCAGTTGTAATCATTACAGTGAAATGATGAGTGCAAAACCAATGTTCTCCCATGTAAACTACCACTCAATTCACAATAAAAGCTTAAAAAAAACCACACAACAACACTCCTTCCTTCAGGTACACATGTGCTAAACCTCTCAGCAGGTTGTTGGGTCTCCACGAGGAGTCACATAGTCTTTGAATCCTTTAGGGGTAAGAAGGCAAATTTGGAATTAGGAAAAATGAATGCATGCAGGATGCACATGATTAGACTATTTTGTGACTAATGTGGTAATGGTATTGTAGTCTAACTAGGTAAAGATACTAATTTAACTAATTTCTTTATAATACCAAAGGAAAATAAAATAGAAAACTCTCATTAAAAAAAAAAAAAAAGAAAGAAAGAAACATAAAATATTCCTACCTGTTCTGAGGACATTTCACCAAATAATGTTTCACTGTGAAAGGAAAAGGGGAAAAGAAAAAAGATGGTAAATAAATGCTACATTAGGTAACTGTGCTCCGGGAGTTACCAGGAAATGCAGAGGCTGAAATGCCACCTGGTGTTAGTACAAGCCAAACTACAAGGGCTTCCTTCCTTTCTTCTCTGAGTACAGCAGAGCCATAACATGGAGACTACAGGGCCATGCTCTTCATAGAACCCAGCTATTCAGATTATTTGCTCAGCACACAACACAGACTGAATGAATACCTATGGTAAAAGGATACAATCCTATCACACACCAGTACTGGTACTGATATATCTGTGTTTGTGTGTGTATATATATATATATATATATATGGTGGTGGTTGTGTGCCATGGAGTCAGTTCCAACTCATAGCGACCCTGTACAGGGTTTCCGAGGCTGTAAATCTTTACGGGAACAGAAAGTCTCATCTTTCTCCCAAAGAACAGCTGATAGTTTCGAACTGCTGACCTTGAGGTTTGCAGCCCGATTTGTAACCACTACACTACCAGAGCACTCGCTCTCTCTCTCTCTCTCTCTCTCTCTCTCTCTCTCTCTCTCTCTATATATATATATATATATATATATATAGATATATATATATATAAATTATCCAAACTCTGGCTGTAGAATTTACTTCAATCAACTTTTAGAAAAGACAAACACATCATTTTTCAATATAATCACCTTGCTTTTTAATTGTCCATCTATCAACAAGCTTTCATTATATATATATATAAAGAAGGAGCTCTGTTAGCGTAGTGATTATGAATCGGGCTGCAAACCTCAAGGTCAGCAGTTCAAAGCTACCAGGCTCCATGTGGTGGTATGCCGTGGATTTGGTTCCGACTCATAGAAACCCTATACAGGGTTCTAAGGCTGTAAATCTTTACAGGAGCAGAAAGCCTCATCTTTCTCCTGCGGAATAGCTGGTAGTCTCGAACTGCTCACCTTGAGGTTAGCAGCCTGACTCGTAACTCCATATGCATACATACATGTATATATATTATATATTGTTGTTGTTGTTATGTGCCATGGAGTCGGTTCCAACTCATAGCGACCCTATACAGGGTTTCTGAGGCTGGAAATTTTTACAGGAGCAGAAAGCCTCTCATCTTTCTCCTGCAGAACAGCTGGTAGTTTCGAACTGCTGACCTTGCAGCTCGCAGCCCGATTCGTAACCACTACGCTACCATATAGGCATATAATGTGGGTGAGTCAAAAATAATACACCTCTGGCTGTAGAATTTACTTCAATCAACTTTTAGAAAAGACAAACACATCATTTTTCAACTGAAAAGCATTTTAATACGTTGTCCATCTATCAACAAGCTTTCACATTCCCTTAATAAAAAATGTTTTAGGCTGAGCTGCAAACCATGAATGCACTGCTGTCTTCACTTCTTCATCAGAGGTGAATCTTTGTCTTCAAAAGGCTGTTTTCAGGAGACCAAACAGGTGGAAGTCTGACAGAGCAAGATCAGGACTATAGGGAGGATGCTAGAACACCTCAAAATGAAGTTTTTGCAGAGTGTCAACAGCGTGGGCAGAGGTGTGTGGTGAATTTGTTATGCAAGATCACAATGCCCTCTTGCATGTGGATAACAGTCTTCTGCATTTAATAAGAAATTTAGGTTTCAGCTCTTCAGTGAGCATCTCATTGTAACGGACACTATTGATTGTTGAAACTTTTTCCTGATAGTGTTCGAATACCGGTCCTTGAGAATCCCAGAAAACTGTAAGCATCAATTTTCCAGCTGATGGTTGACTTTGAACTATGTAATACAAACAGCCTCAATCGCAGACCAAGTAAAGTTCACATATATACATATATAGATATGTACCTAGATAGACACTCCTGGTGTGGCAATGTGGGTCAGTACACTGAATTGCAAACCACAAGATCAGTGGTTCAAACCCTCCAGATGCTCCTCAGAAACCCTGAACAGTGTTGCTATGACTCAGAATCAACTCGACAGCACTTAATAACATATGTATGTTTCCTTATATTTGATATTTGACACAAAGGCTACATATGTGTATTTGACAGACTAAATAACTACATACATATGCAATTCTCAACACAGCGACCCTGAAGAAAGGGTAGAACTGACCCGTAGTATATATATATATACATATGGCCACCACTCGTCTGTCTGTCGTGCTGTGGTGGTTTGAGTTGCTGTGATTCTGAGGGCTATGCCACCGGTGTTTTAAATAACCAGCAGGGTCACCCATGGTGGAAAGGTT